GAATCTGCCCAAAAACGACCGGTCGTCACTGTTCATTTTCACTGTTCATGGCACTGTTCATGGCACTGTTCACATGTGATAAATAGGTGATAAAAGGGTGATAGAAAGTGCTGTTTCTGTTTTTCTTTGGTTTCTTTTGTTGTTTCATTTCTTTTACATTTCTTTACTCATTTTTAGTTTCCAATTTGTATTTGTGCATTTGTGGTGTGTTAAATTAGTGTTCTTTACGTACTCAAACTAGAACTTATAGGAAGCCGACAAGTTCTTCGTGGGATCGACCCCGTACTTACATAATCTTTACTTCATTAGATTCGTGCACTTGCGGGTATTTTTAATTGGTTGTTTGCACATTAATTTGTGTCCTTTTAGGAATGCAACACTTGCACATATTAATCACAAGAAGCCTTCGTCAATTTCAGGGACTGACCTTCGACCAAAACTGCATCAAATTACTTTTCTAAACATCCTAATGGTGATCAAGCATCAAGACACTTAGATAGTTTAACCCAGTGATGAATAATTCGAAAACCTGCATGCATATAATCAAAAGCAAATTGGACAGAAACTACATATTCTTGCTAAGGCTCGTGGCCTCACCCTAGCAAAAGTCGCGTTCAAAAGCCAAAAGAGAGGTCTAAATTTGTTGTGAAAAAGAACTTAAATACTTCCTAAAACCTAGCTGCCCCATCCCCACAAGGAAACTCAGTTAAAATAAAATAATCATAGGATATAAAATCCAAATTGGATTAGGAGAATCTGCATTTAAACTACCCAGCCACGTTTTGGCCTCAAATCTACTCCAAATCCGGCCCAAGATAGCTTGTTTTAAAGATAAAAACGTTCTGAACACTTCTCCAGAAGGCCACGAATCCATCAAAGGTCATCTCGGGCTCCAAAAATGCCATAAAAGTCCAAAACGTCACTTTCCAGCACTGCACACTGCTCCTTTATTTTATCGTTAGAAAATAACCGTTTGGTAGAAAAGTCTGAAATTTTTATTCGATCGAGCTAAGTGACTCATGAACGTCCTCCAACTGGAATTACTCCAAAATTCATCCCTTTGATTATGTTTTGCTCCAGAGAAAGTCGAAAGTCCTATATTGAGAATACAATTCAAAGCATCAAAATTCTTCCAAAATATCAACCAAAATATACTAAGAATGGGGCTAAATATATAATATAAAATATGCCCATCAGCTCGCACCAAGAGTGGCGGTGCCAAGCAGCATTTTGTCGATGCATTGCTTACATTAAAGGACATGTATGACCTTAGTGAAGACACAATTATTGGACTTCTTTGGGTAAGTAATGCCGCAGTCTTTTCAATTTGATATTTCAAAAAGAAGAGTTATTTATCCTATTATGTGGGATACAACCATATATGATAGAATTAAGCATTGCCAGATAGAGGTGGTGCCACCGCACAAGGCCCCTAAGAGCCGCTTTTCATATGTATATACATACTTTCATAACTGTGTGCCCACTAAAGTTGGTTTGCTACGCTCCTTGTGCTCATTACGCTCATTGTTTTATGGCACCACTTCATTATATATAAAACTTTTTTTTATTGAAGTATTTTCATGTTAGATCGCGTGTGTGACCCCAATCTAAATTTTGCACAAACCCTCAAATTCTAACCTTTGTTGCCAACTACTCATATTTCCTTTTTAATGTTCTTAGTTACGAGCTTCCTACCTTGGAGGGCGTATACCTTTCTGAAAACACTATACATATATTTAAGGATCCGACATTTTAACCTAGTTATACCATTTGTGCATGCAGGACATGATTACTGCGGGCACAGACACCACAGCTATTTCAGTTGAATAGGCTATGGCTGAGTTGATTAAGAACCCGAGGGTGCAAGAAAAGGCACAAGAGGAGCTAGATCGGGTCATCGGGTTCGAACGGGTAATGACCGAAAACGACTTCTCAAATCTCCCTTACCTGCAATGTGTAGCAAAGGAAGCGTTGCGGTTGCACCCTCCAACTCCTCTAATGCTCCCCCACCGAGCTAATGCCCATGTCAAGATCGGTGGCTACGACATCCCCAAGGGTGCGAGTGTTCACGTAAACGTGTGGGCCGTAGCGCGCGACCCGGCGGTTTGGAAGGACCCGCATGAGTTCCGACCAGAAAGGTTCCTAGAGGAGGATGTTGACATGAAGGGGCATGATTTCAGACTACTTCCGTTTGGAGCCGGCAGGCGTGTATGCCCGGGAGCACAACTTAGTGTGAATTTGGTGGTGTCCATGTTGGGGCATCTATTGCACCATTTCCGTTGGGCTCCAGCTGAAGGGATGAATCCAAAGGAGATTGACATGTCGGAAAATCCAGGGCTTGTGACTTATATGAGAACACCATTACAAGCCGTGCCTACTCCAAGGCTCCCCTCACATTTGTACAAGCGTGTTGCTGCAGATATGTAATGTACCTTTTAGTTTCTTCTGAAGGGATTTTAGTATCTTTATTGAAAGAATATTGAAAGAATAAATTTATTCCTATGGTTGTAGTAATTGAAATGATGGGACTGTTTATTTCTCCTGCTTATTTGAAAAAAAAAAAAAAAAAAAAAAAGCATCCATTTTATGGATTTCCTTTAGCAAACGCCATATGTAATATTCCTCTTCAGCATTAATCAAACTTGATAATTAAATTTTTTTTTCTTCAATATTTGCACTGCCAAGCATATATTGCTTGTTGAATATTTCCATACTTAATTTTTCAAATTTCTTAGTATGAAAAATTCACCAAAAAAAGATTAGAAATTTAGTGAAATACCCATTCCTAGACATAAAACTATAAAAATACCCTATACTATTTAATGTATATAAACACACCCAAAATAAACCCAAAAAATCGACAGCTGTATATTATAAAAATACCCTATACTATTTAATGTATATAAACACACCCAAAATAAACCCAAAAATCGACAGCTGTATATTTTTTAATTTAATTATTAAGATGAAATACTTTTATTACCCTTTTAACATAAAATAGGAGTTCTAATCAACACCATATCAGAACTCATTTCACGACCTCTAGTCTCTCATCTTCATCTTCAACCCCAATTTTCAATTTTTGTTCTTCCAGCTCAGTTTTTGTTCAACCTCATCATTCTAAGCTTCGTTTGAAGGCTCGCCTGGACCACCGACAATGATGTGCTGGAGAGGGCCTTTTCTCCGTTCGGTGAGATCATCGAATTGAAGGGCCGTTTGACGCAGGTTCTCTCTCTGCGACTTGATCTTCTTTTTCTCTATGTTACTTGATCTTTCTCTCCCAAAGATTGAAGATCGATCGATTCCTTTTCATTTTTGTTTATTATTGTGTATTTGTTTGATTATACTCCGGCGTTTTGGTTTTGATGGACGGATCTGATTAGATTTGGTTTCTTTTTGTGTTTCCAGATCATCAACGACCGTGAGACCGGGAGATCCAGGGGCTTCAGCTTCGGCTTCATCACCTTCAGCAACGAGAAGGCCATGAGGGACGCGATCGAAGGCATGAACGACCAGAACCTCGACGGTCGTAACATCACCATCAACGAGGCCCAGTCTTGTGGAAGCAGCGGTGGTGGTAACGGAGGTTACAGTCTCTTTTTCTCTATTTTTGGTTTAAATGTGGAAAATGGATATATAAAAACAATTTCTCTATCTCTTTTTCTCTATCTCTGGCTGTAAGATTTAGCTATAAGGAATTGTTTTCTGCGTTTTGAAACCAAAACAATTTCTCATTTGAAGCAATAAGTTTCTAGAATCTGTTATACACATGAACTTATTTGATGACTGCAAAGACCTATATTAATTTCTTGGATGATCAAATTGACTATTTTCGGTATGATATCCTGGAAGTTTGAATTTTACATTTATATATATATTCCACTAGAGGGCTTTCATATTGTCTGACTTGTTCTCTCAATGTACTTACAAACACAATATTACCTTTCCGTTTGTGGTGCCTTGTATGTGATGGCTTGAACCTTACTATTCCTAATTTTCTAACTGGTTGAGGATATGTTTGCTCTGCTTGATTATCTCCATATTTCACACATATGCTAGTTTCATATTTCATAGTCTTCCATATCTACAACAAACGTTTGTCATAAATGAGAAGCTGACATAGCAATGATGTAATTTGCATTATCATATACGCATACTTTCTCCGTCTCTTTCTCTATCGATATATATTCCCCTTATTTAAGTCAGCATATATTATATCTGACCATAGTGTCTTAAATCTTTGGTGGTCATTCGAATTATGAATATGAATATGGATTTCTTAGTTCAATTTAGAAAATCTATGTTATTCTCTTATTGGTTCAGCATATATCTATTGAAATTTTGACGCGGAGAGTGAATGGTTTCATATTATCCTTGTAGTTTGTAGTGAAATAGCAGACTATTCAAATTCTATATACTATTTCACCTTATCAGTTATGCGCTTTGTGCTTATGATTGTTATCTGTGTTGTTCCAATTATTCTATTGTGCTTAATTATTTTGTTCTTATTTCTTGTTGTTAGATTTGGTGAACAACCTTGGTACCATTGCAAGGGTGGCACCAAGGAATTAATGGAAGCCTTGGCTGCTGGTGCTTATCTTGTTGCAGATAAGGTCATTGTTACAACCAAGCACAATGATCATGAGAAGTATGTGTGGGAGCCACTCCGATTCAATGTTTATGGTATGTGGAGTGATGAATGATCAATCAATTATGCAAATGAAATGATGTAGTTGATTTTGAGTGGTATGAAGTTGTAAACTTTTATTGTACCTATTATGCAAATGAAATGATGTAGTTGTTAACTTCCAGTAAGTGGTATGAACAGTTGTTATACTGTTCATACCCTGCAACTGAATTGATTTCTATGACATAGTATTAACAGTGTACTTCTATGAGATAGTATTAACAGATTTTCAATAACAAAGCATGCTTTATATTTTTCTCTATATATAGCTGTGCACTTGAAGTTTATGATACGCAGGATGTGATTTTTACTAGGAATATAGTTCTATGACACAGTATTAACAGTGTACTTTTTTTCTTGTAGATGTATTTCCTTTTGCCTTTGCGATTGTACCTGGTGTATGAAATGGTATTAACAATGTTTTTATGTATGAAATGGTATTAACAATGTTTTTTTGTATGAAATGGTATTAACAATGTTTTTTTTGGTATGAAATGGTATTAACAATGTTTTTTCTTTTTGTATGAAATGGTATTAGCAATGTTTTTCTATGAAATGGTATTAACAATGTACCTGTATGACATGGTATTAACAATGTACTTCTATGACATGGTATTAACAATGACATGGTTTGTACAGATTTGGTGGAAAAGGAAGGGTCGTGGAGACATGCCCTTGGTTTTCGTGTTTTTTTTTAATACTTAAGTTTGTTTTTAAAAAAAAATCTGGGTTGGGCTTGTTTTGGGTTTTTTTTTGTGTTTTTTGTATTGGGCTTCTTTTAAGTTAGTCAGTGGCAGTCATGTAATTTATAGGAAATTCAACACTCATTTTGTATGTAGTAAATGGTTTTTGGGTATGTTTCTAAAGTGCATTCCATGTTGGGTTTTTTTATAATTTCAGCTCCTATTTTGGGTATATTACAAAAGCTCCCAAAAAAGATTAGATATGTGTTTAGGACTGTATTAAGTTGGCTTGGGATAGTAACAACCTCATAGGGTTTTTAGATAATAACATAATGGGTTATTTAAACAAATGGTCTTTTAAAGAGTGGTGATTTCCCCACTCCAATTTTATCCACTTACACTTTGTTTTATAACTTAAAAGGAGTGTAAGTGGGTGGATAAAAAGAGAGTGGGGAAATCATTACCCCCATTAAGTTCACGAAATTATTATTTTATGTACGAAATGTTCCCTGCCAATTAGACTTAAAAAGAATGTTCCCTGCCAATTAGACTTGAAAAGACGAGAAACTAAAAAGCATTAATTGGTTGTTTAATGTTTCATACCTTTTTTCTCACTAGTCTCTCCGCACGCGCTTTCGTGCTTGCGATAAGCTTTTTTTAAAAAAAATTAAATTTATTTTAGAATTAAAAAAGATAATTGGTAATTGTGTTCCATAAAAAGAGAATCCATTCCTTTTTTTTTTTTTTTTCAGTCAACTCTTAAACTGAAGTCCCTTGTTCATAGACAGACAGGGGAGGATATCGGTGGTTGTTTGTAGACATGTAGTTGAGATGGTTGACACGTCTCCTTTTAATGACGGTTGAGAATGTGTGTGGGCGATGCTTCTTCTGGCCACACTGTAGGGTCAGTCTTGTCCAAGTTGAGGTCGTCCGTACCAATAATTGTACAATTTGCAAAATTAAGTTGAGTAAATATCACGTCGTCCAATTGCATTCCCCTTGCCTTTAAATTGCTCACCCATCCTCTCTCTCTCTCTCTCGACTCTCTGTCTCTCCTTACTCCACACATCCACAACTCAAAACAAAATCACTTCACCAAACTCTCTATCTCAGTGTTTCTCATTTCACATGCATGGCTCTCTCTGGACTACTACTCCTCCTCATCTTCATCTTCCTTGCTTACAACCTCTATCAAAGGCTGAGATTTAAGCTCCCGCCCGGCCCACGTACGTGGCCAGTCGTCGGAAACCTCTACCACATAAAGCCTGTGAGGTTCCGGTGCTACGCTGAGTGGGCCAGGTTTACGGGCCCATCATCTCAGTGTGGACTGGATCCACACTGAACGTTGTAGTGTCGAGCTCCGAATTGGCAAAGGAGGTGCTCAAAGAGCATGACCAGAAACTGGCTGATAGGCAAAGGAGTAGATCAAGCGCCAAGTTTAGCAAGGATGGGCAGGACCTCATTTGGGCTAACTATGGGCCCCACTATGTTAAGGTCAGGAAGGTGTGCACTCTTGAGCTTTTCTCTGCAAAGAGGATTGAAGCTCTCAGACCCATTAGGGAAGATGAGGTCACTGCAATGGTTCAGTCCATTTTCAAACACTGTGCCATTCATGGTATGCATTTTATGTTCCCAAATTGCTTGCCTATGCTAGTTTTTCAAATGTCATTTGCAGTTTGTACTTTTTTAATTGTCTACACCAATATAATTCACTCATATTATACCACGTGTTTATTTCATCATTCATTAATTCATATTACACTCGCATATCTATAATCGTAGTTGAGTTTTCTGAGAGGAAGTACTTCAGGTTGATTGATTGGTATTGAATTTCATGAATTACCATATTTATTGTTATATTTAATGTTACATATGATATTTGTGATTAACTTTAATTAATCACCATATTGCAGAAAAAAATGGGGAAAGTTTGCTAGTGAAGAAGTATTTAGGAAGAGTGGCATTCAACAACATAACAAGGCTAGCATTTGGAAAGCGTTTTGTTAACTCAGAGGATGAAATGGATGAGCAAGGCCAAGAATTCAAAGCTGTTGTTTCTAATGGAGTGAAGATCGGTGCATCGCTTTCGATGGCCGAGCACATTCCATGGCTGCGTTGGATGTTCCCGCTGGAGGAAGAGGCATTTGCTCAGCATGAGGCACGAAGAGACCGACTCACTAGGGCAATCATGGAGGAGCACACACAGGCCCGCACCAAGAGTGGCGGTGCCAAGCAGCATTTTGTCGATGCATTGCTTACACTGAAGGACAAGTATGACCTTAGTGAAGTCACAATTATTGGACTTCTTTGGGTAAGTAATGCATACATGCAGTCTTTTCAATTTGATATTTCAAAAAGAAGAGTTATTTATCCTATTATGTGGGATACAACCATATATGGTAGAATTAAGCATTGCCAGATAGGGGTGGTGCCAACGCATAGAGCCCCCAATTTTTGAGAGCCGCTTTTCATATGTATATACATACTTTCATAACTGTGTGCCAACTAAAGTTGGTTTGCTACGCTCCTTGTGCTCATTACGCTCATTGTTTTATGGCACCACTTCATTATTAAAAAAAAAATTTATTGAAGTATTTTCATGTTAGATCGCGTGTGTGAACCCAAATCTAAGTTTTGGACAAACCCTCAAATTCTAACCTTGTTGCCAACTACTCATATTTCCTTTTTAATGTTCTTAGTTACGAGCTTCCTACCTTGGAGGGCGTATACCTTTCTGAAAACACTATACATATATATAAGGATCCGACATTTGAACCTAGTTATACCATTTGTGCATGCAGGACATGATTATTGCGGGCACAGACACCACAGCTATTTCAGTTGAATGGGCTATGGCTGAGTTGATTAAGAACCCGAGGGGGCAAGAAAAGGCACAAAGGGAGCTAGATCAGGTCATTGGGTTCGAAAGGGTAATGACCGAAAACGACTTCTCAAAACTCCCTTACCTGCAATGTGTAGCAAAGGAAGCGTTGCGGTTGCACCCTCCGACTCCTCTAATGCTCCCCCACCGAGCTAATGCCCATGTCAAGATCGGTGGCTACGACATCCCCAAGGGGGCGAGTGTTCACGTAAACGTGTGGGCCGTAGCGCGTGACCCGGCGGTTTGGAAAGACCCGCATGAGTTCCGACCAGAAAGGTTCCTAGAGGAGGATGTTGACATGAAGGGGCATGATTTCAGGCTACTTCCGTTTGGAGCCGGCAGGCGAGTATGCCCCGGAGCACAACTTAGTGTGAATTTGGTGGTGTCCATGTTGGGGCATCTATTGCACCATTTCCGTTGGGCTCCAGCTGAAGGGATGAATCCAAAGGAGATTGACATGTCGGAAACTCCAGGGCTTGTGACTTATATGAGAACACCATTACAAGCCGTGCCTACTCCAAGGCTCCCCTCGCATTTGTACAAGCGTGTTGCCGCAGATATGTAATGTACCTTTTAGTTTCTTCTGAAAGGATTTCAGTATCTTTATTGAAAGAATAAATTTATTCCTATGGTTGTAGTAATAATTTTTAAATGTTCCAGGTACACCACGTGTTTGGTGTACCATCCAATAAACATAGAACATGTGGAATTATTATACAACTTACTGCATTTCTTCTTATGACATGTGGCGGATTGCATTGGACATATTCCATATGTCTTCCGTCTATTGGATGGTACACCAACCACGTGGTGTATCGGGAACACTCAAAAATTACTCGAAATGATGGGACTGTTTATTTCTCCTGCTTATTTGGAAAAAATAAAAATAAAAAAAAAGCATCCATTTTATGGATTTCCTTTAGCAAACGCCATATGTAATATTCCTCTTCATAATTAATCAAACTTGATAATTTAAATATATTTTTTTCAATATTTGCATTGCAAAGCATATATTGCTTGTTGAATATTTTCGTACTTAATTTCTCAAATTTCTTAGTATGACAAATTCACCAAAAAAGATAGATATGTGTTTAGGACTGTACTAAGTTGGCTTGGGAACTAAATGAGCAACCTCGTAGGGTTTTTGGATAATAACATAATGGGTTATTTTAACAAATGGTCCTTTAAATTCACGAAATCATTATTTTATGTACGGGATGGAACCTGCCAATTAAACTTGAAAAGACGAGAAAATTCAACATTGGCAATTATAAGCATCCATTTTATATGACCAAGCTTGATAATTTAAATTCTTTGCCTCAAAAATTGAAAAGCGTTATTTTTTTGGGTCAAAAACTGAAAAGCATTAATTGGTTGTTTAATGTTTCATACTTCATTTTTAGTATCTCCTAGAGTTTGAATGAGGAAATTTAAAAGTACAAAGGATTTCATAAATGACGGAATTTAAAATGACGGAAATTAATGTTCTAGAATTTGTAAAGTTTCTTGTTTGGGTGACGAATTTAAAACACGGAATTTAAAGTTGAGATTTATGATCTCCAAATTCCATGTTTTTTCCTACGCGGAATTTCTAAATTTCTATGTTTTTTTATCCAAACACGGGAATTCGTTCATGTCAATTTAGAAATCCTGAGTTTTGCTAAAATCCCAAGTTTATTTCCCTCATCCAAATGCACCACTGGGATGACTGGTCTGTCCTTGCAAGTGCACAAAAATGATATAATATAACATTTGACAAGTCCAAGTATCGTTCTCACGAGGGTTCCAAATTAATCTAATATTCAAATAACTAAATTAAATCAAACTAATATGCAAGTGAATTTGTAGAGATTGTTGTTGTAAAAGTTTATGAAACAAACAAGAAATTAATAAAAACAATTGAGAATAAAAAGGTTGAATTTTAAAGTTGAAAAACAATGATGAAGGTTTAGGGTTTCGGAATCAACCACAAGCAATCCAAGTTAGATTTCAATGCATTCAACAGATTCTTTCGATTCTTTAGATGATAATTCCCGTATCTAAGTCCTTTTCAGGCACTCAGATCATAGTTTTGCTTAAGTGTAAGATCCTTTTCTAGGTCAGACAAAGATCGTATATCCAATCCTACAATCTATCCTGGTTAAGGCATAAATTTAACAAGTTGGATTCATTACGTTCTAGAAAACGAGAGAACAAGCAAACCATTATTCTTCGTCACGCAATAATGTAATTTACCACACTTAATCACAAGAAGCTAATTGAATTATATTGCGAGTTTTGCCTCAAATTCATCTTCCAATTTACTAGATGCAAAGTCCTAAGGTGATCAGTCAAAGAACTTAAACAAATAGCAACAATTAAAATAGTGATTAAACATTCATCTAAAAGAAACTTAGAATCCATTAAATAACATTAAAAATCATAACTATCCATGCTCGAGCGTCATCCTCGCCCTAGAGAATAATTTAGTTACTCATGTTCAAAGAAAACATAATTGAAAAACTAGAAAAGATAAAATAAAACTTATGAATTGTGACAATGCATGAGAACTTGACGATGGCAGCGACTCTTTGACTCTCCTTCAACTCCAGCATAAGAGAACCCTAATTTCTGGTCTTCTATAAATAAGAACAAATCCTCTTTTGACTTGTTAACTATGCTTTCCTAGTTTGGCTTCAATTGTCTTTTGATGAGTTGACGTCCAAAATCCTACTAGATATAGGATCAGACTTTAGAAAATAACTCGACATTCTTGTAGACACTTTTCAAATGCAATTGACATAAATTGGACTTCAAAAGGATTATTTTGCAAAACCAGCAGAACATATTCTGCCCGAACTGTCTGTACTAAAACGGCCACAATTCTCTCCACACACATCCAAATCACAAACCGCAAAATTCTACAGAAAGCTGACATCCATATCTTTCCAACGATATAAGGCTCAACATCTGATTTGCTCTAAGGAATTACAGTATATTCTGTAACTTGTCTGATCTGCACAGCACATTCTGCTCCTAAGATTTCACATTATATTTCAATCCCAAAATTGCTCATTTTTCTTGCTTTTCCATCTTTACTCTTCAAACCTAGTAAAACACAAAACCAAGTAAAAATGGATTAAGCTCATTCAAAAACATAGCAAGAATCTAAGAGAAAGATAATAAAAATGTATGAAATAATAATTATATCAATGATACAAGTTGATCAAAGAAAAATAGCTATGTGTTTACCAGTGGCAAAGCCAGGATTTCATGTGTGTGGGGGCCTCTTACAAATTATAAAGAATCAAAAATTCAAACCCACAATACATACAAAAAATAGTGTATATATATATATATCACATATGTCAAGAATTATATTGCTTATTGGTTACAATCACAATTGTCCTCGATAGAAAAATACATTCTAAGCAAGAAAAATTACAAGAGATAGACAAATAGTAGCAATTTCTTTAAAGCTTTCCCCACACCTCCCCCCCCC